CAAGTTTTTCCGATACATAGCTCGTCATTTTAAAACAAGAATAACCACTTTGAACAACAATCAATCGGACCTCAAGTTTACCGCGTCGTCGTGATGAAAACTTTGAGCGCGAAAAATAAAATGGCTAACAAACGATGTCACTTAAGACGTCACATATTCATAAACCAATCAGAAATGAGATGAGTATATCTTCACCAGATTCTGTGTTGAGTAGGATTTTAACATTATTTTGGTTAGCGTTAATAACCAGGAGCATTGGTAAAATAGACCAGGAAAGTGTTAAAAATATTTCACCAGGAAATATTCACCACCTATTTTTTAGAGTGTATCTGGACAATGCGGAGACCTGCATATCTCTTGATTTGGAAAAATTCCAGAAGTGTATCAACATTATTTTTCTCATTTTATTTCGAAATAAACGATAGAAAAAAAAGGTAGTTAGAGTGAGCCCAGACTATCGTTTAACTTCCCTTTTTTTAGTTTAACTGTTGTACATTACAGGTTGATACAAATTAATGTTCATGACTCGTTCTCGTGTTTTATATTATTTGTTGGTGCGTCGATCATTCTAAATATTTCTAGTGGTTTCGTCTATTTTCAGCCCTCTCGACCGACACATTTCCAGGTGTGTGTTTAAAAATTTGGGCTGTATCTTCTCCCTAAAGGGATCTGCATTGTACCAATGGTTCCGACATTTTAGTAAATGGTTTATAGAATAGAAGTAGGTGACCATTTTGAATAGCCCATCATATTTAATACCGCAAAAATATAAGTGCCTGCACAAGTTTTCCTCTGGTATATTGATATGTGCCCCATTGTATGGACATAAAAAAATTTCTTAATTTAAATTAATATTGTCGTCTAGCTTGGATAATTAAAACTTCCTCGTATTCCTCTGACAAAAACAATTAAAAAAGAAATAATTTTCGATAAATATGTATTCTTGATTTAGAAGGTGGACTCATATGGGTCGTTGTCCCAATTTTCTTCGCATGTTTGTCCTCGTATTCTTCTTCTTTCATGAAACCTTCAAACCAGAATCGCCCTGCTTGCTTTTTTCATGGTTGAAATTATGCTCTATTTGATTTGTTACAGCAAACTGACACCATTACATCTTGTCTAGTGAGTCCAAACCAACGAGATTGCACTTCAAGGATGTGTTATTCAAGTTGGTTCTCAAAAGTGCTTCCCAACACAGAATTTCTTCCCAATTGTTTCATCACAATTTCTCCTCCCCCTTCGGCTTTCGCCACTTTTCGTGCAAATGTCGAAGTCGGCACATCATACTGTGCAGCTGCACGGCGTATTGATAATTCTCCTCGTCTCACTGAATTTACAGCCTCTCCCATAGCTTTTAAATACCATGAAGCATAGTCGGTTTTTCGTGTGTATTTAAAGGGCATCTGAAAATAAAAATAGCCTGTAATTATAATAATATTAAATACCAAGACTTATTTATTATAAATTAATTTCGACGACCACCGTCCCTCACCCACAAAATTATAGATAGGCCACTGGATTGCTGACAATATAGTGCTGACAATATAGGGCCTACGGCCCAGGCCTAATTAATTAATTAATTAGGCCCTTAACAGGTTATGTTTATTAAATAATTAGGCCTAAGGTGAAAAATGAAACTACATTATCAATGAATAGAAACTTCGGCGTAGTAGTTCATTGCGATTGTTTCCCCCATACTTCGTTGTTTTTCCACGCGTCAGCGAATCAACCATATGACTGCAGCAGAGAATATTAAATTCTCACCTCGTCCTTGCAAAACAGCAGGGTCGGCATCTCGTAGGGCTCGCTTTCCTTTTCGTGAGCAATTCGATCATTTTCCCGAAGGCCTGCGATATAAGGCAGGTTTTCCCCGCAAATTTCGATCAGTTTGTTTACACTTCCCTTTACGTCGAGGATTGCATTGGGTTCCATCGTTGCAGGTTCCAAAGCCGGTTCCACTGTCGGTTCAATCTGTAAAGCAGTTTCCATCGATGCCGGTTCCACAGCCGGTTCCGGCTCTACAGCAGGTTCCACAGCCGGTTCTATAGCCGGTTCTAGAGCAATTTCCATCGATGCAGGTTCCGCAGCCAGTTCCATCGATGCAGTTTCCAAAACCGGTTCCACATCCGGTTCTACAGCAGTTTCCATCGATGCAGGCTCCATCGAACAATCAGTTGGTCTCTCCACCCTGTACATGGGCAAGTTGGGATCGCTGTCCTGAGAACTTGGTCTCCCGACATCGGCTCGAAGCTTATGTTGTCGAGAGCATTGAAGAAATAAAGGTAGTCCGTAGCTGTGCGGTAGTCCGTAGCTGTAAGTTTTACGTATTTATAATCTTTGTTGTGTCCGTGAACCGATTGTGTTCGAATGTCTCGCCTGTGGGCAACACCGGACACCGAATTCAATACTGTGTTAGGGAGTCGGCGAATGACACCTGGATGGCAATGGCCTTCTGTCAGCCCAGACCGAAATTCACCGCCTGTCTTCCCGTAACTTCCTCACCGCTCCAATCTTTGTAATTTAATATTAAATGAAATATTTACAATATTAAATGTGTTTATCTTGTTCTTCTTCTCCTTCAAACACGCTATCCTTATATTCGACTTAATGTCATCAGGTAGTGACCATAGTCGTATTCGTTGTAGGTTGCTCCTTTCAAATTTGAATGGAATATCATCGTCGGACTGGTTTGGTAGCTCATCATCCACACACATATTTCGTATATTGTCCATGGACATTTCTCTAAAGAATTCTTCTAAACAATTGGTTAGATCAATTATTATAATTATTATTATTGTTATTGTTATTATTATTATTATTATTATATATTATTATTCTTATATATTATTATTAATAATATATATTATATATTATTATTATTATTATATAATTATTCTGTCTTGCTTTTCTAACGGTAGTGATTAGTAAATAAGATTGCTCATTTACATTTTATAACTAATATGTTTCTTTCATATTGTATTTTCCATCTTTATGAGGCTTCGTGTAATTTTTGGAGAACCTCCTCGGACGAGTCCACAGTAGTGAGGGTCGAGAAATAATGCCAAAATAAAACGTTGATTCTTCCTCTGAATAAGGTAAGATTGCTTGCACAGTATACACATAACATTATATATATATACACTTACTAATCCACTTATTAAAACCCCGTTGTCGACCCTGGATAACCTCCTCCGTTGTTTACCTAGCTTTAGTTTACCCCAAAAAGAACAGCTTAATCTTACATTTTTCATTTCTCATATCACAGATTCATCTAGCCATTGGAGTAAATGATGAGAGCAATCATTGATCTGTAGTAAAACACTTCAAGCATTGAGGTGGGTCGTCTTATGGAATCAATCAATCAATAGCGCTACCTTATCCAACTCCTCTGCCTGTGAGCGCTAGACGACGCGATGCCGTTGCGCGCGTCGTGGGGCTGTGTTCTCCAGCATCGCTGACGACCTTCGGGCGTAGTGAGTGTTGTGGATGTCAACATAGACTATAACATGAGCTAATCAACAGTAGTAGTAGTTTGCACAAAATATATAAGCGGTCATATAATTATGATTACAATGTAATTGATTCTAGAAAATATAAACCTGATGAATTAAGCCGATTCATCGACATCCACAACACCACCACCATGCACGTTTGTGTAAGCTAACTGATGTACGTACGTCAACATGGTAATTCCGGTGTTCTCTGGAGTTGGACAGTGACATCGGCTGCATAAAGGTTATATAAAATACAATTGACTATTTAACTTTAAACATACACCTTTGAATCTATGGCGAAAGAATGACAGCTCATTATCTATCGAATCATCCAGTTCGGGTATTTTGTTATAATCTCGGCATTGAAACGCCAAATACAAGCACCCGTACCAGTGTCATCGGCTGCATAACGGTTATATAAAATTCAATTGAGTAATTATTGTAACTTTTAATACAATTAGAGCTGAACGATTGGCTGAGAGGTATTGTTTCTGCTTCTTGTGCTGAAGAACTCGGTTCCATCCCAAATAAAAAGGAGTTGATCGTCTTCGGCCTGGTAACCTTCTCCGTGCTAATTCTTTGACTGGTCACAAGGTAAAAATCATGATTCGATATTCGTGACATTGCTCGTACTGCTGTTCCATCAACATAAGTACAGTTTTTACCCATATTATTTATATAAAACTAATATTAAGATTGGACCTCTGCTACTGTGCAGTCCCTCCCTGGTTCGACTTCCTGGACCCGCCACTGTTGAAGTACCATTTCCGGGCTCTGGATTAATTATTACCTTATAAAAAGGCCCCTAACTTTCAAAAACGTTCCGCCGCCGTTGCGTAGCATCTAGTTTAGCTGTTGCGGCCACATAAAGAGGTCTGCCATACAAATAATCAAAAAAATTCTTGGTGACGGCCCACTTTGTGGCAGGATGGGAAAGTCTAAACATTGAAGTGTCCTTCCATGTCTAAATAAGCACATGCCTCATGGCACCACTGTTTACATGCCATGCACATGATCCAGTCCTCTGTTAAGGGTTCCTCATATTTTTCGCTACAAAAAATGCAGCGGTATTCTTCATTAGGCCTAATTTCTTTGGTTGTTACAGATATTCCTTTTTCTTTAGTCTGATTTGCCCGACTCTGCAGGGTCTGCCTGAGGTTCTCCGGGTCTTCCTGATGTTCTACGGGGTCTTCCTGATGTTCTGCAGGGTCTGTATGGGGTTCTGCTTGGACTGCTTCAGGATCTGTATCTTACTCAATGGGATATTCCCTCTCAGTCACTTCAGAAGGTGCAAAGTCAATATTTGTGAATATGTCTGGATTGAATGGGTATATGCCGGTGCATTCAAATGCCTTTGCTGCCTTTCCAACTGATGCACACCGGAAATATGCAGCTGCAAAGAGCTCTCCAACTTCATATTGTGTAATTTGTTTTCCAGCATTGGACGTCATCCACTTGTGGCATTCTAGTTCGTAGTACACTTTAAGGGGTGTGGTGATATGGATAGCAGTGGTTGTCAAAGATAAGCAGGGTCTTTGATGCCGTTTCATAAAACCACTTATCCAGTCTTGTCCGGCTTTCTTCGTGTCTCTGTTAAAAGGATGACGGATACCATTGCTTTCCGCATATTCATATGCTAAAATTCTCAACTCATCGTAAGTCAGTCCATATAACATAGTCTGAAGCTTCAACAAGTGGGTCACGAATTCTGCTTCTGCTGCTTGACTGAACACCGTGGAAAATGTGCCTCTCTTTCCAGTGTTTACAAGTCCCTTGATTGAACGATTCAACGTCGATTTAGGAACATCATGGTTCGAGCTGCTTCTCTGACTGTTTTTTCACGCGACTTAACGGCCTCAACAGCCTTCTCCATATTGGACTTACAGACTAAATTCAGCTTTAATACTACTAGGGGCATGATGGGACACCTACATGGGCATGATGGGACACTGTCCCATGCTGATTTAAACCTACCTTTACAAAATTTTACAAGTCTCAGAATCAGTTATGCTTCAAAAACTTATGGATACTTGGATTTTTCTCGCTGAAATTTCTTCTACACGTGTAATAGGAATACTGTAACAAAGCATGAGGAAATCACCCCCTCTATCCTATTAGTCTTCGAAATACAGACATGTCCCATCCTGCCCCGTGTCCCATCTTGCCCCGCCTTCCCCTAAACCTCTACATGCATACTCAATTGCGCGCTCGTGGCCATCTTGCTCTTTGTACAGTGCCGAGTCCATCCAAACTAGGTTTAGGTTTAGCAAAATCGGCATAAGCCAGGATGGGAGACGATGAAAGTAATAAAATTTTGTCTGAGTCTGTTTCTATACCGTTTTCAGAAATGACATGACCAAATGGCATCCGATTGCATTCATAGAAGCCAAGAGGGATTGTAAATGCTGTTTTAGCCTTGTCATCTTCATCAACTTCGATTTGCCAGTAACCTTACTTCAAATCTAGAGATGAAAACTTCACGGCTCCATGCAGGGCGTCGAGCGTATTTTCAATCCTCGGTAGAGAATAGCCTCTGTCTGTGTCATGCTGAGAGAAAACAGATTCCCACTTGCGGAGGAATTGTTTTACTTCTTGTACACGCGAAATCTCGTTTGGCCCGGGCGCACTACTTACGCACTCGTCCCGATGGTCTGCATGTACTTGGTAGCCTGGTAATATACCGCTTGTCACACGCACTTACACAAGAGCAACATAAAGCACATTGAAGTAAACTGCAACACAAACACTCTCTGATTACCGGAAAATTACAACTTTGAACAGCTCTCAACCCTGGCCCAAGTGGTTTAACAAAAACGATCATGCTACAAATTTATGGGCAGCAAAACATGCACACAAATAGAACAAAATCACATTCTGGCGCTAACACTTCTCCTATCTTATCACTACCTACAGGGGAAGTACTAAAGCCCATGGAGACAATTACAGAACCATGTTCAGTGTCGACTTGGACTTGGGAATTAGAACTGTCTGCTCACTTGCATAATAATATGCAACAATCTTTTTACTTCTGTATAATGATACATATTTATTTTTTCTCTCAGCTTTAGATGTTTTGAAACCAGGTTGTACTTTGAGATTAACCTAAACCTGGAAATTAAAATACAAACCTAGCATTAAATACTTTTTATTATACTTTTTATTTTATTTTTTATTTATTTTTTTTTTAAATGGGAAAGTGAATTTCTACACTAATAATTATGTGTTCACTTAGGTGTATTAAAATGAAAATTACAGTACTTTGAAATTTTAAATAAAAAAACATCACTTATTTCTTCCAGTTTTTAGCATTGTTGTATTGCTAAATTATCTGTATATTAGTACTAATATATTGTAATTATTTTGTATTATAACTGTCTCTTATACACATCTAGATGTGTATAAGAGACAGGGATAAC